GGGCGAGCGCCCCCGGCGGCCGCTTCGCCTTCGTCACTTCGCCCGCCCCGCTGGCGAGCAGGTCCCCGTACTGAGGCAGGGCCACTGGGACAGCGGGCTGGGGAGTTATGGGAAAGGGATCCTTTTCCCAGAACCTTGCCAGCCAGGCTCCCTTTGGGTTGGGGAGAGCAATCCCTTCGCTATTCTAAGATCGAATCTGCCCTCTTCTGTACATAGCCTCTTCTGTTGGTCTTGTTGAACTCTAGTTCCAGATTTTTAACTACCCAATTCTGCTGGGGGTGGGGGTATCTCCCCCTCCCCTTCTTCGCTGGGTGCTGGACCCCCATTGCGGCCTGGGCTCTGCCTTGCACTATTAAACCACCCCCCTGGCCTGGCGGCCCCTCCCCCTCCTTAAAAGGGGCAGGTTCACGGGCCCGGTGCTCTCCCTCCCATGCACCCCCATGCCCATTTGCACAGCTGCCCAGGTACCCCCAGTAGTGGGGGGGGTCACAGGGAGGGGGTAGTGGGACCAGTCCCTGTATCTATTTAAAAAGTGATGATGTAATATATTGGGGTAGGGGGAGGTCGGGTTGCCCTGGGCCTCATCTTAGCATTTCAGGTGATAGGGGAGCCCAAGGTTGGGGAGACCTGGGGCCTATCCCCAGGGAGTGAGGACAATGTGGCCTCCCCCCTCCCTCCTTGCGGCTTCTCCACTCAGTGCCTTAGGGGGGGAGGCAACCCCCCCTCCTGTTCCCTCCCCCTTCCCCTTCCCTTCCCCCCCACCTCTGGTGTAAGCGACAGGAAGAAATAATAATAATTTAAGATTCACACTGTCCACCTTTGCTTCCTTTATTTTGGGGTAGGTGGGAGGGATCAGGAGGAAAGGGAGATGAGAGACAGGGCTTGGAGTTCCAAAGCCGGGGAGTGGCTACTTTGGGGACAGAGGACTACTGGGGTGGTCATTGGGGCTGAGAGGGCTTGGGAATGCTGACAGATGGGGCCTCAGGTGGGGGCTATGGCCTCTGCTTCCTCTGTCAAGGTCCCTTCTCATCCAGGTCACTAGTGAGGCAAGGAAGGGGGTGGCCCAGTTGGTCACCAACATTCTCTTCTCACAGGTACATTCCTACCCCTGTCCCATCTGTTCAGATTTGCCTCCTGTTATGCACCAGCCCCTGCTGCACTCACAGGCCCCCAGGCACACCAGCCCATGGCTGTAGACATCTGATTTCAGGCTGATGCTGAAAGATCAGCGGGCAATGACTTGCCCAAGGTCACATGTCTAGTGAGGACAGAACCTGTAATGACTTTGTGATAATACCTGCTCAAGGCTCAAGCTGCCCCCTCTGGTGACTCAGCTTTTAAGTTCCCCGGAGCCCTCTGAAGACTCTAGAAATAAAGCTTCTCTTCCCTTCAACCTCTCCTCTCAACACTACTCCCAGCCCCCTTCACATAGACTGTGCCCACTGGACATTCCTCTCAAATGGAGGCTGCTTGTCTCTCAAACCCCACTGGCCAATGGCATTTTGCAAAACCCCTGGCTACCATGGCAGCCACACCACTAGGGCTTGGCTGCCTCCCCAGGCCTCCCAGATCCCCTGCCACACCTTTCCAGGGTGCTGCCTCACACTGGCTGCTTGTGTGGCCCAGCAACCTCCTCATTGGAGAACTCATCCAACTCTGGACTTTCAATGCTTGACCTCCTTGCCCTAATGACCTTCACCTCTGTTGCCACTCAGGCATCCCCCTCAACTTTGACCATCCACTGGAATTATCCCAGATTTCTTCCCTAGCTGTGGCTCATCCTCTCTGTCCCTCCTGGCCACTGTCCCTGCTCTAACACATCCTGACATAGACCCTGGACTTCCACCTGTGGTCTCAGGCCCTCCTCTTCCCCAAGGCCAGTCATCTCAGACACTTACTAAAGACACCTCACTTCTCTCCCCATCTTGTCCTTCCCCTGACCCGCCCAGAAATAGCCTTCAATCCTTGAATCCTGCTCATGACCACATTTGCTGGAAAAAATCATAACCACCCTGACCAGGTAGCTCAGGTGGTTAGAGCGTCATCTGGATACGCCAAGATTGTGGGTTCAATCCCTGGTCAGGGCACATAGAAGAATCAACCAATGATGCCCAGCCAGGCGTGGCTCAGCAGTTGAGCACTGACCTAGGATCCAGGAGATTGAGGTTCGATTCCCCGTCAGGGCACATGCCCAGGTTGCAGGCTCGATCCCCAGTCAGGGGTGTGCAGGAGGCAGCTGATCAATGACGACTCTCATCATTGATGTTTCTCTCTCTCTCTCTCCCTTCCTCTCTCTGAAATCAATAAAGACATATTTTTTAAAAAAAGAAAAGGAATTCTCAAACTTCTTGCAACAATGATGCAGGGCCTCGAACCCTGTTTCTGTTTCTGAGTCTTCTATACCAGTCACCCCTCATTCCATTGTGATCTGGTTCAGGTCTTCCTGGTGCCATGAAAAATGTTCCCACCAGCCACTCCAGTGATCTCTCAGCCACCAAATGCAATGGCCAGTCTTCAGCCCTCACCCTATGGGATCCTCTCACAGCATTTGATGTGCTTGGTTCTCCTTGGCTTGTGATCGAGCCCCTCAGGGTTCTGTCCCTGTCCCCTTCTCTTCTCCTGCCGTGCCTCTGCCAGGATGATCTAGGTCATCCTCCTTACAGCCTCTAAGTCAACAACCCCCCAAATACACCTGTGGCCCTCAGCCCTGCCCTTTTCCAAAGTTCCCTGGTCCTCTCCACTTGGATTTCCTATAGGTACCTCAAAGGTCCCAAACTGTATTATTCCTCTTTCCCCAGGCCTATCCCTCCTCTTGCCTAGCACCTGCCCCGCCCCAAGCATAAACCCCCAGTTTCTCTCAGCACCTCAATCCTGAGCCCACCACTGACCTCTCCTGAACTAAGGCAGCGTCCTCTCTGCCGCCTTAGCTTATTGTACTAAAAGACAAATTATGAACATGTCACTTTCTGACCAAGAATCTTCAGATGGCAAGTCTTGCCTTCTCCCAACTCTCCCTGTCTTGACTTCCAACCTCATCTCCCAACATTCTCTGAGGTTTCCACCCAGACACACTCACCCTCCCTTAGGCTCTCTCCTCCTAAGGGTCACATTCTCCAGACTCACACAGGCCCCCCGCCCTGGAAAGCTGCCCTCCACTCTTCAGCCTGGCAAACCACCAGGTTGCCCCAATGCCACCTCCTTCTTCAGCTCTTCACTGAAGCCTTCATTAATGTTCCCATTCCAAACTGGCTGCCCTCTGTACTGCCCAGAGCCTGCTTCACTCCTTGAATGGGGCACTGTCCACACCGTTGTTACTTATCTATTAACAGATTCATTCTCCCCCCATTCAGTGGGCTCCTCCAGGGAAGGGGTGCTGGCACAGAGCAAGCCCTCAGCAAACCTCTACTCCTCCCCTCTTTTAATCTCTGTCTCCAGCTCTAGCAGAGGGCCAGGCACCCAAGAAGCCCTTTGGAAATGTGACAGAACATGCTTAGGCCTCCCAGGCCCCAACTCCAGCTTTCTGCTCACCTGAACTCAGAGCTGGACTCTGATAAGAAGGTTCTGCCCAGCGCTTCTTGGAGGCGTTGCCTCAGTAACCTCTCCTGCCCAGGGTCTTTTCTTCGAGCTGCTGCCAGCCACAGCCGGGGGCCTTCCTCGTCACTGGAGTCCCTAGAGAAGCCTCCCATCTCAGTAGGCCAGAGAGATCCTGGGGAAGGGGTGGCTGCTCCCACTGCCCCCACAAACTCCAGCCACCCCATCTCGCTGGAGACTCACAACTCCAGTTCCAGTTCTCCCTGGTAGGAGAGGGGAGATGCACACACGGAGCAGGTGTTGTCCAGGAGGCGGAAACAGGTGGGGCAGAAGAGACCTGGAGGGGCCAGGGGGGAAGGTAAACCTGAGTTTACCCACCCACCCACTGTGCTCCCTGGCTTCCTCCCCTACCCCACCACTGGGGGTATCCTTCTCAAGTGACCCACACTAGGGAGTTGCTGCAATGCCACTTGCATATAAATTCTGCTCAAACATGGGAGATTTAAGGCAAACGTGGAGAGAGTGAGCTACCTGAGGGTTCTATGTAAATGAGGACACGCATAGTAATGAAGGGAGGGATACAAAAGGTGAAGTCCCTAAATGAAAGGCCACAGTTGGTTGTCATATGTAAATGTGGTGAGTCCCAGCAAGGAGAGGCACACTGCCTCAGAATCTCACCTCGGCAGGTTGGGGTACTGCAGGACACAAAATTCTCCGTGACCCCCTCGACCTGGAGCTGTCCGCAGCCCATGCAATAGGTCTGGTGCTGCCCGACGTGGTTGATAAATGGAGCCAGACAGAAGCACCTGAGGAGAGGGGTCCCAGACCCTAAGCAGGCCAGCCCAGCCAGCCTAACCATCCATCTCTCCAGTACCACCCTCCAAACCAAAAGGAGGCCTTCATCCCTCTAACCTCCATCCCTCTGACTGTAGCAACAACCTCTCTGTTTCCTGTTCTCCTCCCTTTACTCCCCACCTCTAAGAATGCTCATTCCCAGGTCTCCCTCTGGGTGCAAGAATGGCATGCAGTGGGCATCCTCTTGAGCCAAACCTCTGGACACTCAGGAAGCACAGTAATCCATTCTGACTTCTGGTTTTTTATTATCTCCTCTTGCCTCACCCCTATAAGGAAGGACAGTGGGCTCACCGCCTGGTCAGCACCTGGAGGATGCTCAGGTGGCCCTGGTCAGCTGCCCGTCGCCTCACTGTTCGGTGCAGGGCAGCCAACATGCTGACTCGGCGGCTCAGAAGTACATTGTAGAGGTAGGAGATCCTCTCCTGGTGGAGGGCAGATCAGGGATGGGGTCCCCTTTATCCTGTTTCACTTGCCTGGCATGTCCTCTGCACCCATCCCCACTCCCTACCTTTGCCTTCTGTCCAACTCCTATGAGTCCCTCTAGGCTTGGCTCAAAAGCCCCTTCCTCTGGAAAGCCTTCCAGGCTCCCCTAGGCAGCTACTCATTCCCTCCTCTGGGTTTCCATATCACTTTATTCATTCCTTAATAAAAACACTTGTTTACTTATAATGTCTTGTTAAGAGCCTGCCTGGCCTGCCTGGAGACTGTGGGCTCCAGACTGTGTCTGGTTCGCCTTGGTATCCCCTAGGGCAGCACACGGACTGGCATACAGTACATGCTCGGTAAATGATTCGTAAACCAATGAGCAAATAGTGAGTTTCCACTCACACCTCAACATGCCAACACGGCCCCCTCCCCAAGAGGCCCTATTTCTCCCAGCCAATCGGGCATCTAGAGACTTTCAGTCTAGGTAGTTTGCTTTGGGGTTCAACCAGAGGAGAGAGGGCTGGGGCTGCTGAAAGACTCAAAGCTCCCCCAAACTAAGGTAGTCACGAGTTTAGCCCCCTGGAAAGGGGGACCGGGACTGGGCCGCTCACCTGCTCTCGGAATGGATAGTAGGAAGCACAGATGACCCGCCGCAGCCGACTGATATGGTTTCCAAACAGGCTGATGAAGAGGCATAGGCCGTACATGATGCCTGGGGGCACAGCAGGCACAGTAACCACTGCCAGTGAGTGCGAGTACCAGCCACATGCACCCTCAGCAGTCTGCACCCCTCATGCCCTGAGTGGGGTCTATTTCCCCAGTGCCCTCGGGGGTGTGGTTGTTACCAATGACTATGTAACTGGTGGTGTTGGGCTCCGAGGGTTGCAGGAGACAGCGCTGTGACAAGACCGTGATGTTGCCTTGGTGCAGGGCATCAAATGCTGACACCAGGTCACGATAAATCGACCCAGTATAGCCACTGCCTTCCACAGTTATGGATACTGACACAGGGCCTGGCACAGAGACACTGGGTGAGTACACTGTGGCAGCTGTCGGATCTACCATAAGGAAAGGCCACACCTTCTAGAGGGCAGAGAGTGGAGCAGCGCAGGTCTTAAGGATGGCCCGATGCCCTCAGCCAGCGGCCTTCGATGCACGTGGCACCTGGAACTGGCTCCAGGGTGCAGAGCTGGCTGGCACTGGTGCCTCGTCTGCCTGCCCAGGCCACCAGATCTGAGATGACCTTAATGGTCAGTGAGTCCATCCCCGCCTCCACTACTGCCCAGAAGCATTTGATTTAAAGCATTTGCTAAGTAAGCACTGGCTATGTAGCAGGCACGGACTAAGTGCTTTATTGATTGTTTGGGGGGGGGTTTACTTTCTTTGTCGGTTGTCTGGTACACAGGATTAGGTTCTTTGTATTCCATGGTTTTTGGCACACTCAGTCAATGGTCTGCCAGGCAGTCAACACACATGGTCTCATTTACTCCTTAGAGTGACCCAGAGAGGTTGCTGCCATTATTAACTCATTGTTGATGGGGAAGCTGAAGCTCTGAGAAGTTAAACAATGTGCCCAAGGTCACCACCTGGTAAAGAGCAGAGCTGGGATTTGAACCCAGGCCGTCTGACTCTAGAACTTGTGATTTTAACTGCTCTGCTATTTTGTAACCTGGACCTGGACACAGGGCTTACCAGGCAGAGGATAGAGTTGGAAGAGGCTGGGGAGTAACAGTGATGGGGTGGGATGGACATTCAGGCAAAGCCCCAGGATGGGGAAGGTAGCAAGGATACAGGAGCAGGCCCAGGGGCCTGCTCTGGGGCGGGGAGGTTCAGGTGCTCACTGCGGGCCACCACATCCCCCTGCAGCTGGTGCCGGGCCAGGTCCAGCACCCAGAAGACGGCATAGTCCAGGAAGATCAGGAGCAGCACAAGGAGGATGTGCCGAATAAGGTAGGCCATTGACACAATGTAAATAATCAGCTCCCGCTGGGACAGGAAGATGGAGCCTGGATAGGGGAGGATCGGTCAGGAGGATGCTCCCCAGTTCTTTCACCCAGCACACTCCAGACCCTGGAGGGATCTCTCCCCGGGAGACACCTCCTGCTCTTGGTCAAGCTGGGGCCTGTGTGCTCATCTGGAAGGTGTGGTAGCTGTGAGGACCCCTGGGCAGAGTGAGAAGCACCCTTCAAGGTCAGGGGCTCCAGAGCTAGAGGTGGAGGCCTATATTGTGCACCTGGGCCTGGTGGCCTATTTCCAGTTGCCAGGAACCCTCCCTCCTGGGACATCCCTGGTCCCCATACCTGACCCCCTGCTTCACAGACAGCCCCCATGAGCTGCATCTCCTCCATATTACCACATTCACACTTCCTGCCTACCCCCAAAGCCTTCCCAGCCTCACTTTCCTTGTTCCATGTCCACTCCCCATCTCTCCTTCCCTCTGTCCTGACATCCAGGTGCTCCTAGAAGCAGCTTCTGCCCCTTCTCTGTCTGCATGCTATGAGGGGCCCTACTTTCCCTTTCACACTGAGGGCTCACAAAGGACAGAGCGGTGTCTCCCCTGAGCCTGAAATTGCCTTAAGCTCTGGGTTGTTTCTCCTCACTCTGGCCCTTCCCCAAGCCCAGCCTGTGCATGGGGTTTAAGGTCAGGGTAGTGGGGTTGGGGGAAGACCTGGCCTTTCTCAGGGACCCTGTCTCCTGGTCCTCAAGGCCCTCACCAGGCCGGATATAGAGCCTGGCCTCATGGGCACTGAGTGGCAGCACCGTGGGCAGTCCCGCCTTGGCGCGGACAGCCTCCATGCGCAGGAATCGGCTGGTGATGTAGACATTGTCATAGCGGTCCCAGTTCAGGTAACAGTACCGGTAAAACAGGGCTCTGGAGGAGCACACGTGAGGCTCCTCAGCACCCTGACCAGACCCCACAGGGCACCAACCTCTCCATCACCCCGCCCGGAAACTCCAGCCCCCCGGAATGCCGTGGGGATTACCTAGGCCCAGCAGCCCTGGCTCCCTGCCCACCCCACTGAGCTCCTCACTGGAGGTAGAGAAACACAAGCATCAGAGGCGTGGTGTAGCCCGTCAGAGCCAGGGTCTCTCGGGCGCGGTACAGCTTCATGCTGACAGCTTCGTAGAGGTCCAGAGAGACCTGGGACAGGCTCCGAGAGGCATTGAGATCCACAGAGTAGTAGTGGGTGGCTGTCACGTTGAACTCAAACTCTTGACGCACCCGGTTAATCAACTTCTTCACAGCTGGCACCCGTGGATCATAGGAGATGTGAGCAAGGACAGTTAAGAGGAAACAGCCTCACCTGAGGGAGGGACCTGGCACAGCCCAGGAGCCATACAGCTCACAGACCAGCCAGGAACCCTCAGTGTTTAGACCTACAGTGGGTGGATTGAGGAAGGGACAGAGCCTCCGTGAGCTGTGCCATTGCACTGTGTGCTCAGCACCAGCATTAGGTCTCCACAACAACCTGCCCAGGGGCCCAGACTCCTGCTCTCCAGTCAAGCTTTGATGAGGCGCCTTCCCTTTGTTGGGCCTCAGTTTCCTAATCTGTGCAGCACAACTATTGCTCCAGGTAACCTACTGAGGTCCTCTCCTGACCTTGCATTCTCACCCATGGACTGGGAGCACTCCCAGGCTGGCAATGGCCACACCAGGATGCAGGAGGGAGACCTCCCAGGAACATCACGTGACAGGGATTGGAGAGGTCACTCACGGGTGCCTATGGTCTTGCTCAAGAAGGGTTGGACGTACTTGGGGATGATGCAGAACAGCTGGAGCACTGAGAGCCAGAGACTAAGTGTCAGGAGGGCAGAGAGATGCGACCTGCCTCTCCTACCTCCAGGGACCTTGTTCGCACAGGGTCCCCTTGACCTTTTGTTTTTCCTACTGGCCTCAAAATCTTTGACTCAAAGCCTTTTGGCTTCTCCCCATTACCTCACCCTCCCTCATTGGTTTCTCACTCTCTTCCCTCCACCCCACGCTGGGCTAGCATCCTTATTGGCCCTGTATTCATCACTCTCTGTTGGTTCTCTGGGCCCACCCTCCTAACTGAGCCCTACATTTTCCAGGCCCCCAATCCTGCCTGTGAACCCCTGGCTCTCTCACCGCTGCCAAGTCCACAGAGCACCAGCTTGAAGGGCACGAGCGTGTAACACAGGTAAGAGATTCTCGGTAAGACCTTCATGCACCTGCCCTGGGCATCTTCGAAGACCCGTGCACACTTCGAGTAAGGGTTGCCCAGTTCTGAGTTGCACACATCTCCAATATGCAGGATCCAAAACCATATGTTGCGCAAGGCCCTGGCTGGGGACAGCTATGCGGCTGGTACTCAGGGCCAAAGGCCTGCAACGTCTTTTCAGGGGCTTGGGGAACACCAGGATAGCACCCAGAGCTGGAGAGGCCTGTGGTCAGGGGCCTGGCTGTGCTGTATCATTAGGGACTAGTCAGCACCCAGGAAGGCCCCAAAAAGTCCTGGAGAAGGGTGAGGGTAAGGAGACAGTGAATTTTGACACACACACCCCCCAAAAAATAAACATGCTAATGTGCTGACCTATATGCTTCACTCCATTCATGATTGACCGAAAGAACCTGCGCACCCTGTCAGCCACCTCTTTGGCCTTCTGGGCGATGGCTTTAATCTTGTTCAAGGCACCTGAGAGGCAGGGGGCAGGGGCATGTGAAGTCTCTTCCTCTAAGGGCTCATTCTTACCGTTGTCCCTGGGGTAGGGAGTGGAGAGGGGGCCACTGGGAGGTGAGAAGCCTGGATGCTTGGGTCTGGGAGGTAGCTAATCTGGCAGTGGGCTGGCCAGAGAGCACAGTTGAGGGGGGGCTAACTGGGCACCTCAGGGTTGGGGCCCAGTAACAGCAGAGAGGAATGAAGCCGCGGGCCTTACTGACAAGGGGCTGCTTAGCTCGCTGCAGCAACTTCACAGTCTGGTTCAGGGCCAGCTCTGCCCCACAGGCCACGGCCTCACTGGCTCGGGTGAAGTTGCGCAGAGTGTTGGCACAAGGCCCTTGCAGCACCAACCCAAAGGAAGCCACCAACAGCAGTGTCTGGCTCTGCTCTGGAGGGGGGGG